GTCACTATGAGTAGGATTGCTTACTAACTCTGGGCAGGACCTTAGCCCCCCGCTCCTGGCCCCTAGCGAAGAGTTAAACTCTGACTGCGGGGAGAGAAGCTGGAACCGCTGAAGGGTGGAATAGCGCCCTTTCACGGGCTATGCCAGGCATGGACAGGAGGCAGGAAAGGGGTGCAGAGAAAGGTGGGCACGTTTCAGCACCAAGGGCACAGTCAGTATTCGGCTATTTATAAGGGAGCGGAAGCTTGCTGGGCTGCGGGCTATTCTGCTGCCTCTGGAGCCTTCACCGGGTATGGGCGAACTGCTGTCTTCAAGCCCAGGTTAAAGACCTAGGAGTTGAACTTTCCAGGGATGTGTCAGGGGTTGGCCACCTTAGGGACAGTGACACCCGGCCCCAGGCAAACAGGACTCTAGATTACCCCCACTTACAGGACCGGTTGTCCTGCCCCACCCCTCCAATGCCACCCCTGCCCGCCAGGCCGACGCCTAAAGCTTCCCGGGATCCCTACGCTCCCCTTTTCCGCTGCGTTCACCGATGGTATGGCCCGACCCGCCCAGGTGGTAGCGCCCGCACCGGTCTACCGTAATACCCCTACGGCCTGCGCACATAAAGGGCACAGAAGCAACTGAGCCCTCCCCGGGTTCTGTTCTCCCTTGCGCCTTGTGCCCCTTAGGGCTTTGGCAGCCTTGGCTGAGAGCCACACACAGGAGGAAATTCACGCCCTAAGGTGAGTCTTAAGGCAAGAAGAGAATAGAGCCCAGGAGTGGGCTTGGGTGCCAGGAACCCCAGAATTAATGGACAGAACCGGAGTTGGGGGCCCACTGCAGCCCTAGACCTTAGACTAGACATCAGTGGGCCCCACTGGCTCGACCTCCATTTACTTTCACGTTAAATGGGCTCAAGTGTTCACCTGCGCCCCCCGTGACTCCAGTGTGGGGTGGACTCAGAGATTTGGCCGTGAGGAATCATGGGGCCCTGGGCCCAGAGTGAGGGTGTTGGCGGGTAGCCTGAGATAGTTGGGAGACTCTGAGCTGCTTCAGGGCGTCCCCAGTTGGGTTTGAGGTAGAAAGTTTTCTCGAAGCCAGCAGGGGGCGCAAGAGACTGTGCTCTGGCACACACTGGCTAGGGGAGGGGGTTGGGAAAGGGGCAAAACCTAAGAGAAACCTGGATTTACCCTGATGAAAGATGGGGACCTAAGGCCCCAGTAATCTTCCTTAGGTTTGGGTGCACTGTGGACATTTTAATAGACCCCTGCCCCAAGGCTTCCTCTAGGACCCAGCAACTGTCCCTAGATGTAAACAGCATAGATGGGGAGATTGAGGCACGGAAGGGAGGGACAGTGGTAGGTGGGTCCTGAACCTGGTCTTCTGAAACCCAAGCACATGCCCTCTTCCGTGACTTGCCAAGGATTCTTCTACATGGTTCTGGGGTTTGGTGGGGTTCCAGGAGGCAAGGCAGTGCTGGCAGGATGGAGGGGGAGCAAAGTGAGATTGCCCAGGGTCTGTCTGGCACATGTGTGCATGGGTCATACAGGAGGTGATGATCACAGACCCTAGGCTCTCCCTCATCCCAGCACTGGGTCCCCAGCCTTTTGCATCTTTTACCTTGGGGAGGCAGGGGCCTTCAGGCTTCTGTGGACCTTCCAGTAGGCCAGGTTCCCCAGGTTCCCTGGAGCCCTGCCATCTGCCAGACACACACAGGGCCTCAGGGTAGGTTCTGCCTCCCAGTGGGCATCAAGATTGAAGTAGGGAGGAGCAGGGTGGGCATTTTGGCCCCTCCCCAGGTCAGCAGTGCTCTGGATAGAGGGTGAAGGTAGAGCCGCCTGGTGGAGCTGGCACCACCCTACTTGACCTGCCCCTGCATGCAGCCTCCGCCCTGTATCTCCAAGGTGCAGGGTGGGGCCTTAGGCCCCAAAGCTCCCTGGGAGTTTAGGCTGGGTGGGAGCCCGTGGGAGCTCCACTCAGGATTCCAGGCCTCAGACCTGTGGCCATTTCTGGACTGGGAGCTCATTTCTCCTGCCCCAGGCTAGGCTGGGGCCCTAACCTATTGTGGGGGAAGGGATACCCACAGTCCTCTGCTGGGGAGAGGGTGCTGTTGGGAGGGGTACCGCCTTGGAGACTCCATTATTCATCAGCTCCAGCATCTGGTTTCTGGGTATCAGTTTCAACAAGCTGGGCCTGACTCACAAGCCTGACGCTGGGGTTGGACTGTGGAGGTGCCCCTTCCCCACGGAGTCAGGGTATGGGACGTTTTGGGCCTCTTTGAGAGCTGTTTCAGCTCCTTGCAATGAGGAGTGGAGGTGGGAAGACAGCAACCTACCAGCAGGCGCACAAGGGCTCTGTTCCTCTCAGCACTCTGCAGGCTACTGGCCCCTCAGGACTAGACCCTGCCCTACCTGGAGAATCTGTGTAAAAGCCCAGCTCAGGGATAGCAGTGCCCAGCTGGGATGAGAGTGACCTCTAGTTACCTGCCTTGGTCCATCCCCCCCTGGTGGTCTCCATTTGATGCAACCAGTGGTATCCAGTCTCAAGCTAGTGTGTGGACCTTCCTTGTCTCCAAGAGTCTTCATGGCCCTGCAGCCCAAACCACCAGTCAGCCAGACTTCATGCCCCCTTCCTCACGGTCCAGGGGTAGTGGTCAAAAGTGCAGTTTTCAGCATATGACCTAATCTCTCCAAGCCTCAGTGTCTTTGTGTATTATATGCACTTAGTAATATATATTTGGCTCCTTGGGGGCCTTTGAGAAGAGTGAATAATGAGACTTGCTCTGCACAGCTTCTGGGGCATTTCTGGCTTGGGGGAGTGCTCAGTGGAAGGCAACTGCCAGGGGCACTAGGGTAAGACCACCAGGATTTAAGGTAGAAACTGATTTGCTAGGCCAGCAGGCTCAAGGTCATATAGGAGGGCTTTGTTGAACTTTGGTCACAGAAAGGGGACACCCAGACCTCTCCTCTGCCTTCAGTCATCCAGTCATTGGTCTGACCTGCATTGAGTACCTGCTGTGTGCCAGTTCAGATCTGAGTGCTGAGGATACCCCATGAGCTGGACAGACAAAGCCACTACCCTCTAGAGAGGACATTTTCTTGCAAGGAGGAATGATGACTATAAAGTCAATGAATAAGTAATATCAGGTAATAAAAATTCTAAGAAGAAAATTCAATTTAAGGGGTTTGAATATGGGTGAGGGGCTATTTTAGTTGGAGAAGAAAGCCCTCCTTGACAAGGTGGCATTTCAGATAGAGCCTGGTGACAGTCATTTGCCCATTAGGGGCTCAGAGTATCCCAGGTAGACAGAATGCAAACTCTTGAGGTGCACTATATTGGTGTATGTGGTAGGGATGAACGGAAGGCCCCCATGCCCAGCAGCTTGTGGGACTGACTAGGAGGTGGATGGATAGGAGACAGGTCTTGCTGGTGGGATTTTATCTTCAGCCAGATGAGAAGCCATAGGAGAGTTTTACCTGGAGAGTAACTGGATGCAGGTGTTTTTGAAAAAAATCTGTCTGCTGATGTCTGGATAGTGTGGGAGTTGGAGGACCAGATCCCCTTCCTACAACTGTCTTCCAAGATTCTTTGCTCCTCACCCCCTTCCAGGTGAACCTGGTGGAGGAGTTGTCTATTTAAGTGGTGGGTGTGTTAGTGACAGGATATATGATAGTGGCTGTCTCACCCCCACAGCCCTTCTGAGAATATAAAAACAATGGGGACCCCAGCATCACACCCCAAGCCCAACCTGCATCACCATCCTCTCAGGCTGAATAGAGCGCCCCCTGGCGATTGGGCTCACCGAAGGTCCTGCGCAAGCCAAGCGCGGAGGGACACTGGCTGAGCGACAGGACTGCCCCTTCAGCCTTTTTCGGATGGCCAGTTCGCCCAGCACCTGGGTCAGTAGTCCTCACTGCCCACTGGCTTCTCCGCCTTCACTACTGGGCTTGGCAGTGGAGTAAGGGTCACCTGGCCTGAGGCTCTGAGGCGGTGGCCTCCAGAACTGGGGAGAAGGACTAAGATGGTCGTCATGCCATGGGGTTTAGGAGTACCTCTGAGTGTCAGATGTTTGATTGGAATAGGAATGAGGTCAGAGCCAAGAGGCGCACCCCAAGATTGGGGGACGGTGGAGGGCCCCAACACTGGGATGAGGTTGTGTCTGCACTGTTTCAGCCTCCCTCTGCCTCCGCCACAGACCTGGGCAATGGGAGTGGGGTACCCCAGACTGAGGCTCTGAGGCAGGGGTCTACAGGATATCACATCCGAGAGGGACTAAGGTGCTTCTCTGGCCTGGAGGGACTCTGAGTGCTGAGTGTTTGGAATCTGGGGGTGAAAAGGAATAGGATGCCCCTGGGGCTAGTGGGCAAAAGTGCAGTGGCAAAGGTCGGCATCTACAGTCCAAGTGGTGTGTGGGTGTGGGGCTGCCCAGACTCCCCCCCCCCCCACCTCCCCGTGTCCCTTCTCCTTCTCACCCCTTTCCACTACTCTGGGAACTACCTGGGGGGAGGAAGCAGGTTCGGGGAGGGGCCCCTTGAGTCTTGGAAATTAATGATTTGGGGACCCGTGTTTAGAACGGAGAGAGGGGCACCTCCAGGACTTAGCAGTGGATGGCTGTCTGCAGTCACAGTCTCGGGGTGGGTATGTCACCGGCGTATCCAACCCCCCCCCCCCCCCCCCCCCCCCCCCCCCCCCCCCCCCCCCCCCCCGCGTGCCCCCCTCCGCTCTACCCTGTATTCTGGGAGCTCAGTGGAGGAGAGAATAGAGTCCTGAGACTTCCTCTGCATCCCAGACCTTGGCGCTGGGGTGGGGGCTCAAGGGGTAGGCGGGGGATATCCAGGCTAGTCAGGGGTTGGGGCCAGACAGTTACCGGGGCTGGGGGGCGTGTCCCCAGGGTCGTGTCCCCCCCCACACACACACACTGGGGGGGTGGGGCGGGCACGGCAGCACAATGGCAGGAAGCCGGGCTCCATGCTTTGTCCGGCGGGCGGCGCAGACCGACGCTTCCTCTGGCCGCCATGGGGACTGGCCCCGGCTTCTCTGGGCGCCGAGCAGCCTCCAGGCCTGGCTCCGGGTTGTCCTCCCTGGACTCTGCGCCCTTCTGGGCTGGGGGTCGCTCCCGCGACGGTGAAGCTCAGGTACTAGGGGAATGAGCGGAGTCCTCTGTCCGGGGCGCTGGTGGCTGGGGCGGGGCGGACTGCAGGGCGCTCTGGCACTGCGCGAGGCCTCCAAGCAGGGTCAAGGCAACAGGGCACATGCAGCTTATCCGCCCCCCTCCCCGTGAGGGGAGGCGCCTGGACCCCTTAAGTTTCTCCCTCTCCCTACGAGGGTCCAGATTTGTTGAGCTTCACCCTTGGATTTTTGTGGCTGGGGCTTCCTCCGGACACACCTGTGGGTCTTGGGCTGCCCCTCCCCCTTTCTTCCTCTGTCCCAGGCCCTGCCCACACCCTCCTCCCCTGTTTCTTCTCCTGACTTCCGCTGAGCCTTTGTGTGGCCAGGAACAGTGCCTTCCACATGGGAGGCCTTGACCATGACCCCCAAAGGATCCTCCACCCGTATTTGTAAAGTTTAGTTCATGCCCTGCCTTGGAGGAGCAGCTTGATGATGGTCCCCTTAACCCCTCTCACTCAGTGGACTCTCCCCTGCCTTGTGGTGAGCCACGGGAACTTCAACTCCTGCTGTCCTGCCTCCCTTGCTCAGGCATGATGGGCAGGCAGGTAGGAGGGGGAATGGCACATGGGTGTGAGAGAAGAAGGGGCCCTGGAGCCATACTTTGAGCCCCTGCTTCACAGCTGGTTTTGCTGGAGAGCTTGTGGTTTGGGGATGGAGGTGTCAGGTAGGACAGACTCCCAGGGGGCTCCTCCCACCTCAACTTCTCCCTCCCAGTTGGGGGTGTGGTTCTTCCTGGAGGTTACTGGAGCCTCATGCTCTGTTAAATCTGAAAACATCTACCTGGTTCAGATCCTGAGCCTGCTGTTCAGTTCACCTTGCTCTCTGCATGTCTGAGCCTAGGGGACTACTGGGAGGATGGAGGCAGGTGAGGTCAGTCACAGGCTGGGCTTTGACTCCTGTTATTATTAGTGGTGGTGGTCACGGTCACCAGAGTCCATTAGTGCTGGGGAAAGTGGTATCCCAGAAACTCTAAAGGGAGCCTAGTGCCTCTCACATGACAGGGTACACCGTAGGTATCTTAGAAAAGCAAAACCAGTGAGATGTAAAAAAGCTTGTGAAAAAAGTAGAATTAAAAGGTAATGGAATGTTCCCATTAGTTTTTGAAGTACCCTCCCGTACATAGAGATTGACTTCAAAGAAATGACTCACACAGTTAAGGCTGACAAATGCCAAATCTGTAGGGCAGGAGGCAGGCAGCAGGTGTAGACTGGAGACTTCTGCAGGCTTACATGGGAGGACCTGAAATTCAGGTGCCTGTTGGAGAGAGATCTTTGTCAAAACTCTCCATTTATAGTTTGGAGGCAGGCCACACCCCCAAGGAAACTCTCCTTTCAACAGATTGGCTGATTGTATCAGATCACATTACAGAAAGTAATTACATTGAGTCTGCTATGGAACAGCAGCCCCTTATCCACTGTCTACCAGACCACAGAGTCTCAGCCTAGTCATCGAATTGACACATAGCAGTAACTACCTAACTACCACAGCGGTTGCTTGATAAGTATCTGTTGACTGCTGAATCTATTGGAAGGAATGAATCCTTATATAAAACCTGTTGTCTATTCATTGAATTCGTTTTAAAATAAAATGTGGTGCAGAATTGGGAACTTGGGTTGGAAGGGCTCTAGAGACCCGCCTCAACCCATAACCTAACATGCCACCCACTATGACCCTGGGCCTGGATAACTCGCAGGCCCCAGTGTCCAGTGTCGAGTCCAGCATTGGCAACCCAAGACTGACACGACAGCTGGATGCAGAGACCAGAGAGGAGGTGACAAAATCTGGGCACTTGGAGAGGGCTGTTGTGCTGGTAGACTCAACGTCCCTGGGAAGCAAGGCCACAATAGAACACATATACTCCCCAGATTCATTCCAAGAGCAGATGATCACAGTTGGGGGGGGGTCCCAAAATCTGCAAAGCAGGCCCTTCACTTACTGCCCTTGGATAAGGGCAGCCAGCGCTCTGTCAACTTTAGCAGCATACACCCAAGAGATGAAATGATAGGATCAGCTGCTCTGGTCCAGGCCCTCACAATTCCAGGGATATAGGTGAAATCTTTCTCGTGATGGGCAGAAAGGGTGGAAAGCAGGGAACAGACGCTTGGCACTTGGACTGCTATCAGAATTCTGGGTCTTAGTGTCTGGAGTTGCCTGCCCAGGGCCCAGCCCCACAGAAGTCAGCTTTCCTACAAGTGGACCAGCAAGTGACCCTTGTGCTCCTGACCCCCATCCAGTGCTCAGAGTGCCCCTTGCAGACTGCTGTTTTCTTTCTGATGGAAGAGTGGAGCATGGAACTGTGATTGATTTCCTCATGTCACCACAGTCTGCCAGCCTCCCCTGTCCTTCCAGATACCCAGGAGATGGTGTACCTGTGGTTAAAATCCTGCATCTAAAGCAAGATACATTGGGTTAACTGTTGCCTCTAATGGCTGTGTGATCTCACACTTCCCTCTTCCGTAAAATGAAACTCTAATCGCCTCTACCTCCCAGGATGGGAGAAAATGACATTTGTAAAGCCCTCAGTACAACCTGAGTAGTTGGCAACTGCATAATGATAATCAGATTTTCCAGTCACCTCTTCCCTGTCTCACTTCATCCACTTTCTCTGCCAGTCCCACCTTGTCTCTTGTTGTGAGTTCCTGATGAGGTCATTCATGTGTATCAGTAGAACTGTGCTCCTAGGTGTTTTCAAGGCTGTAACCTTTCAAAATCAGATTACCAAGTCTTTCTTTTGAGACACTACTAAGTAGGTTCAAACTGCTAACCTTTCAGCTGGTAGTTGAGCACTTGCAAATCTCTGCCCGGGCCCTCTCTTAACCAGAAACTTCAGTGGTTCTTCCTTGGCTTCATTTATTGATTCAACAAGTATTTACTGGGCAGTCATGGTCTGACTAGGCAAGACAGTGAATCAGATGGAAATCTTTCTCCTTGTGGTGCTGACAGTATACAGGGGAAACGTAGTAAAATACACAGAATGTCAGGTGGGAGTGAGTGCTAAGGAGAGAAAAGGAAGCAAGGGGGTGGAGGGTGGGGAAAGTTAGGAAAAAAGGTGACTTTTAAAAAATATTATAGTTGGAAATATGTGCAGTAGAACATACCCCAATTCCATCATTTAATTTTAACTCTACAAATTTATGAATGTAATAGAACCTCAAACAATATTTAATTCAATAGGAGTCTACAAAGTGTTATTCTCAGTGTCAAATATTAGACAGCAGATAGTTCAACTGAGTTTTATGTTCTCATTTTTGCTAGACATAGGCAAAACCATTTACATGCAAATTAAAATGACCAGAACCAAATATTAAAATGAGGTATTTCAATAAATTTTAAACCAGAGTTTTGAATAACAGTGCGAAAATATGACATCAACCTGCATTTCAGCCAAAATCTCAAACTTCTGGATTATTTATTTTTTCAAATTGTAAGCTGTTTGTTGTCCAAATGCTAATCCTTTGGTATGCTCTTTTTTTTTTTTTTTAAAGTGTTTTATTGTGAATTATGTGATAGTTTACATGGGAAAACATTAGCTTTACATCCATCCTATCATACATTGTTTCATTGCCGTGGTTACAGTCCCCTCCATGCATCATCAACCAACCTCAGGGTGTACCCTGCAAGCCTGCCCCCTGGTGGTCAGCACACAGCCCGTCTCCCTCTCAGGGTCTAGAGTCCCCAGCTGCTCCATCTCTCTGCCTCCATCTCTGGTGTTGGTATGCTCTTTTAACAGATGAAAATTGCTTTCTTTCCCTAGGAAAATGTCAGACTACACTAATATTTAAAAACACACTTAAATTAGCTAAATTACATCATGACGGTTTGAAAAGTCATTGTTCTTTAATGCAAAATGTACCACTTGCAATTACATATGAAACATTCAAAAGAAGTTCATTCTAAAGCAGTTCATTGGAGAAGCCTTACCCAGGGGTCGCTATGAGTTGGAACCAACTTGAGGACACTTGTTAAGGGCTGTGGAGTCGGTTCTGACCCATTGCAACCCTGTATAGGGTTTCCAAGGAATGGCTGCTGAGCTTGAACTGCCGACCCTGTGATTCAAACCAACTTTGCAGTCCAGTGTGTTAACCCACAGCACCACACGAGGACTTCTTGAGGACACTTAACAATATATAAATCTGAAGCACAGTCCAAGTATTTACGTATTCACTTTTGGTAATTGAATTTGCTTTGTTTGGCTGCTACCCTCAGAACAAACACAAAACTTCTAACTTCTTTATCAAACTCTTTCCAAATCACAAATAAGCTGTCAAGGATCTTCTATTTTGCTCCAGGATTTCCCCCTATGCACTAAAGATTTCAACACATGATTTCAACACATGAGCTCTGGTAGCATAGTGGTTACGAATCGGGCTGTGAACTGCAAGGTCAGCAGTTCGAAACTACCAGCTGCTCCGTGGGAGAAAGATGAGGCTTTCTGTTCACGTAAGCATTTACAGCCTCGGAAACCCTGTTCACGGTCGCTATGGGTCGGAACCGACTTGACAGCACTTAACAACAACAACAACCTCCCTGTTACTCATTTTTTAACATTCCCACAGGAGGCCCGGGGTTGGGGGGTCACAGAATTCAGGGCTTCCAGTGAGGAGGAAAATGACCTTGAAGAAAAGAAAGCTGTGAGTGGGGCTGGCACGATTGCAGCCCCGTCTCCGAGGTTCCCCAGTTTCCCCATTTCCTCCAGGCACAATCCTATGATGTAGATGACATTCTTCAAATTGTGCCACCGTTCTCGCCCTCCTTTTAAAAATTGTTCCTCTTCCACTAATAATAACATAAACCCCTAAGCTTCCTAGCCAATGACAAGATGATTTTTGAGAAAAGAATTGTGGAAGTGAGGGAATGAGGGAACTAGGTGTTTAGATACTTGCGAGGAAAAGCATTTGAAGCAGAAGGATTAGTGGATGCAAAGGCTCAGGGGTAAACCTGAAAGAGCTTGTCAGAGAACAGCCAGAAACTGTGTGAGCGGAGCAGAGTGAGGCAGGATAGAGAGGTAGGGCAAGAGGCTGAGAGGTACCCATAAAAGGATTTTGGCTTTTACTCTGAGATGGGAAGCCATAGGAGGCAAGGGAGGTGAGTTTGAGTAGATCTCTCACCAGTTGCTGTGGCGTCAACTCAGACTCATAGTAGAACTGTGCTCCATAGAGTCTTTAATGGCTGATTTTTTGGAAGCAGATCACCAGGCCTTTCTTATGAGGTGCTTCTGGTTATATTTGAACTTCTAACATTTTGGCCAACTGCCAAGCATAGTAACTGTTTGCATCAACTGGGGACTCCAAGTATATAGAAGATGAATCCTATTTGAACAGGCTCCACTATGGCTGCTCATTAAGAAGGGACTTACGGATATGTGTGAGACAAAGGTAGACTCCGGGAGATTGTGTCTGAGGCCATTTCAGTAATCTGAGTGAGAGATGACAGGACTAGGACAGGACAGAGCGAGCCGATGAGAAGTGACGGGATAAAGACACAAATGTTAAAGGTGGAGCCAACAGAATTTTTACACTGGCTGCATGTGAGTAACAGAGTTAAAGGTGACCCCAAAGTTTCTAGCCTAAGTGACCAGAACACAATTGCCATCAACCGAGATGAGAGTGTTGAAGGGGACACTCAGGAGCTCAGAGGAGTGGGATGCTGTTAAAATCCACATGGAGAGTCGAGAAGGTTGGTCTAGAGTGCGGGGACTGACTAAAGATTTAAGTTGGGAAATGCTTATCAGGTAGATGGTGCCTCAAGTTATGAGACTGCTGATGTCACCAAGAGTGGCTGTAGATAAAAGGAAAAGAGATCTCCAAGGAGACTAAGGAAGCAGCTGGAAAGTGCCGGCTCCTGGGGCCCAAGAAGGCAGCTGTTTGGAGAACAACTGAGTTAGTATGCTCAAAGGGAGCAGTGGATTTAGCAATTTGGAGGTGACTGGGTGACCTTGAGAAGAATGGTGAGAGGCAAGAACCATGGAGAGGGTGAGAGCGAATGGTAGATATAGAAACTCCATCTGCAATCACTGCAATAGTCACTGATTGATGCAAAACTTGGCAGTGGAGGCTGAAGCCCGGGAGTATGAGTTGATTAGGGAATAGGATGTTGTAAATGATCACACCACACATTACTTCATTGTTAGAAAGAAAAAGTACTTTTACAAGGTTCCTGGAGATCTGGTGGGCACCACCCTGTCTGATATGGTGGGCTTTATGAAGAAGGATCTCTTCCTTGCAGAAGACCTGAGTTTGATTTCTGGCCAAAGCACACCTCGTGTGCAGCCAGCAGCCGTCGGTCTGTCAGTAGAGGCTTGAATGTTGCCATGATGGTGAACAGACTTCAGTGGAGCTTCATAAGACAACGTAGGAAGAAAGGCCTGATGATCTACTTCTGAAAATCAGTCATTGAGAACACTGGAGCACAACAGATGGTGGCAGGATTGGACAGTGTTTCATCTTGTTCATGGCATCACCATGAATTGGGGGTCTGACTTGACAGAGTCTAACACTATCACCAAAGCTGGAGGGTGATGGGAGGCCAAGACACTACTTTCATGAGATGAACAAATGGCAGCATGTTGGAATGCCAAAGGGAGGAGAGGCTTGAGGAGGAGTAGCAGAAAAGCTAAACAGATTGAAGGAGGGAGGCTCGTTTGCATCTGCTCCTGGAGCAGGTGGGTGGACTTGGGAGCTCATGGACCTTCTGCTGGTTTCTGGTTCCCTAGGAGAACAGGAAGCAGAGTAACTCTTGGGAAGTGTTTGGAGAGGGCTCCTGGAGGTTTGAGGGTAGAGAAGATGTGAAAATCACCCAGGGAGTGGAGAAGGAGATAGACCAGCGCAGTTTAGTAAGTCCAGGATCAAGTATGCAGCAGTGGTTCATGGACAGCACTTGGACACTCAGTCTCAACCACCTTTCCTTGACTCCTCCATAATCCTCTTGTCTTAGGATTCCAGGTGGGGCCAAGGGGCCATAAAAATAGGAACAGAGGGCCTGTGTGTGAGAGTGGTGGGGGCTGGTGTGCAGGGCATTCTGGGGCCCATTGAGCTGGCCAGACCCAATGACAGCTCAGCACTGCTTTCTGCTTTCCTTCCTCCCTGTGCTCAGGAGCTGGCCTTGGTTATTACTCCATGTCTCCCCCAGCAGGCTGTGTGTCCCAAGGCCTGACTTCACTTTCCTTGGCAGCCCCAGGCATGGTCCAGGAATGGACACATAATAGGTGCTTGGGAAACATGGGCCAGTGAATGAATAATGAGCATAAGGCACCTTGTGGGCAATGGTGAGCTGGCTAATAAAGTGCAGCCCCCACAGGTGGTCAGAAGTCCTGTGTGTTCACTGCCATGCCCAGCCTGACCCCCCACCCTGTCCATCCTGTCACAGGTATGCCACCACGCTGACTGCCAGCAGCTACACCGCCGGGGGCCTCTCAACCTCTGTGAGGCCTGTGACAGCAAGTTCCACAGTGCCATGCATTACGATGGGCATGTCCGCTTTGACCTACCACTCCAAGGTGAGCCTGGGGGCCCTGCCTGGTCCAGAGAGTCCTGGGCCTTTAAACTGCCAAGAGTCAGCTGTAACTACAACCGAAAAGCGGAATGAAACCCAAGTGAGTCTTGGTTCCTTTGGTTCCCAAGTGTTTCAGCGAGAGAAAAAACTGGGAGGACTGTACCCTGGGTCGTGAGCAGTTTTCCCTACCAGGGCTCTCTGTTGATCTGACTGTGTCTGCAACTACTCTTGCTCCCAGCCTGGTCCCTGCATGGGGAAGACCTTCTTCTTCCCAGCAGCTCTGCCCAGCTGCAAGGCAGGGGACAGCTTAGCTGCTACCACTTCTGGGCAAATCCTCTGAGCCAGGCTGCTGGCAGAGCTGAGGCGGTGCCAAGGTGGGGGTGATGGATCAGAAGGAACTTGTAGCGCGTACAAGAACTCCTCCTGCTGAATAGGGACTTGCACACTGCCAGCTGTCTGCTTGTGGTATTGTACTGGCACGGGGCCCAGGAAATGGCAGCTTTCTCCACTGAGCAGAGGGACAAAAGACGTCTCCCCTCTTTAGAGCCCCAGGGAAGGCAGGTGTGATCTCAGTGAGGGAGAGGAGGCCGAGGGAGGGAAAGAGCCATGGACTTCAGGTCCTTCCTGCAACAATCCCAAGGTCACGGCTTTGTTATTCCCATTTCGTAGAAGGATAAACTAAGGCCATAGGGGGATATTTGTATTGGGGTGGGCTATCACCTGAGATATCATTGTGTCCTTTTGGATCTTTTTGGGACTGAGCACCTCCTCTCAGAACCAGGAGGCCCTAGTGAGTTTGTGGGGGCAGTTTCCAGGATTGATAGGAGATGGTCATGTTGGGAAGCTAAGGAGAGGGACAGGGAGGAGTAGGCATAAATCCCCCTCCCCCCATTTTCTTCCTCAGGCTCTGTCCTGGCCCGAAATGTGTCAACCCGGTCATGCCCCCCACGCACCAGCCCTGTGGTGGACTTGGAGGAGGAGGAGGAAGGTTCTATGGATGGCAAAGGGTAGGTGAGGAAGCAGGTGGGCAGAGCAGATACCTGGAGGCAGATGGTGGGGGTGTCCCAAAGCCGCGTCTCAGACCAGAGATGCAGGGACCAGGTGCTTTGGTGCCTTCCTCCTAGACCCCTTCCCCACACTTGCACTGCCCTGATTCCTGGCAGAGGCCACCCCAGCCTGAGCAGCCTTCAGAATGTCAGATCAGGCTCCACTACTAAGTGCTATTGGGTGTGACACCTGTGTTGGCCACCAGAGGGCGCACAGCTCCTGCCTGAAGGCTCCTGGATTGCTGAATATCCTGGGGTGAGGGAGGGTTGGTGAGCCACACGGCCCACACTCATCCCTCCTGGTGAGGGGGTCCCTCCACCCCCGCTCGCTTTCCACCTCTACCTACATGACTTCCCTGCAGGGACCGGAAGAGCACCGGCCTCAGACTCTCTAAGAAGAAAGCGAGGAGGAGACACACAGATGTAAGGGCCTCCGGGGTGCGGGATGGGGGCTCCCAGAGTGCCCCTGCCCACTTCAGCCAGGTGGGGGTGCTCCAGGATCTCCTGGGGCAGGAGGGGACTGGGGTGGCCCTGTGGTGGCAGGGCAGGGTCAGGGATGGCAGTGGAGACTAGTAGGTGTGTGTCCTCCTAGGACCCGAGTAAAGAGTGTTTCACCCTGAAATTCGACCTGAATGTGGATATCGAGACAGAGATTGTGCCAGCCATGAAGAAGAAGTCGTTGGGGTAGGGCTGGGGGGACTGAGGGTAAGGCCAGGGGTGGGACCCATGTGGACTCTGAGTCTCTGCAGGTGTGACTTCGTGTGGTGGTCTGTATGTGAGCCCCACACCTGTGTGTAAACCCGTGTGGTGTGCACAGCAGCCTGTGGGAACATGGGATGGTGGTGTGTGCACCCATGTTCTCTAACCACGTATGTGGCCCAGTGCTAGTATCTGGGCATGGCAGGTGGTAACAGTGTCTACCCTGGTGTGTAGACCGGGGAAGGGTAGAGGTGTGTTGGTGTAGACGTGAACCTCTGTGGAATGTGCACCTTTGTGTTCTGACTTGTGTGCATGACCCAGTGTCAGGGTATGACAGACTGTGTCAAGATCTGCCATCATGTGGTAGGTGGGTGGGATCGTTGTCACATGTATAGATATGTGCAAGCCTCTGTGAGTAGTGTGGACGGTGTGTGTTTGTGTGTGCATGTGTGTGCACATGTGTGTCTGTATACCTTTATGTGATCCCAAGTGTCTTCCTTTTCCCTCAGGAAGACTGGGTGCAGCTGGGGGTGTGGCCAGGGTGGGGGCTCCTGTGATTGTCCCCCTCATTTCCACACTTCCCATTCCGGGAGCAGGGAGGTGCTCCTGCCCGTGTTTGAAAGGAAGGGCATCACACTGGGCAAAGTGGACATCTACCTGGACCAGTCCAACACACCACTGTCCCTCACCTTTGAGGCCTACAGGTTCGGAGGGCACTACCTTCGGGTCAAAGGTGAGAGAGAGTCAGGTTCCAGAGGCCCAATGGGTGACTGGGTCCGGCTGGGCCTCTGGAGATGAGCTGTTTCTCCTCGGGCTCGGGTAGCCATAGGCCAGGGCCCCAGCAGCTCATTACCACACAGGTGTCTCTGCTAGGCAGTGTGGTGGATGCTGGCAGGGCGGAGCTGCAGGGGCAGGGTCGCCTTGGTTGGATTCTCAGGAGAGCCAGGCTGGGGCCGTCTCCTCTACTGGACCTGGAACTCAGGACATCTCCTTATTCCTAAATGCCACCCAGCCAAGCCCGGAGATGAAGGCAAGGTGGAGCAGGGAGTGAAGGACTCCAAGTCATTGAGTCTGCCCATCCTACGGCCAGCTGGAGCTGGTGCCCCCACTCTGGAGCGTGGGGATTCCCAGAGCCGCCGGGAGAGCCTTGACATCTTGGTGAGGAGGAGGGGTTGTGCTGGGGAGGGGGTCACAGGCCAGGCTGTAGCACAGAGTCGGTCCCTCTTGGGGCTGTAATTTCCTCTCCTGGGAAATGGGGTTGTCTCTGATGCTGGGGACCCTCTGTGGATCTAGACCGTAACAAGGTGTGAGAGGTCTTGTCTCTGGGTGTCTCCCAGTGACCAAGGAGTCACTTTGTGTGTATGTGTGTAAGGTCTGTGTGGCCTTGTGCATTTGTGCTCAAGGATTTTGTGTCACTGTGTATGTGTGTCCCAGGGACATCTTGGGAGCTTGCGTGCAGCTGGGTGGCTAGGTGACAGTGTTCTGGGTATATCTGTGTCTGGACCTTCTAGCCCCTCGAGCCTAGGTGGGTCCCAGGAGAGGTGGCATCCCAGGCTAGGACTATAGTGACCCTCCCATGTAACAGGCTGGCCTAAAGTCCTGGAGGCCCACCATGCTGGAGGGCTGTGGGGCCAAGGTACACCAGCCTTGACATAGCCCCCCTCCCCCCGCCCTAGGCCCCTGGCCGCCGCCGTAAGAACATGTTGGAGTTCCTGGGGGAGGTGAGCATCCCTGGGCAGGAGCCCCTCGGCCCCTGCAGCTGCTCTCTGCCCAGCAGCAGTAGTGGTGGTCCCAGTGCAGGTGGGGACAGCTGGAAGAACCGGGCGGCCAGTCGCTTCAGTGGCTTCTTCAGTTCAGGCCCTAGCACTAGTGCCTTTGGCCGGGTAAGTGGCCCCGTGAGCCCTGGGGTGGGGAGCTGGCTGGTAGAGGCTGTTTGATCCCTGACCCTGACCTTCTAGGAGGTGGACAAGATGGAGCAGCTGGAGGGCAAGCTACATGCTTACAGTCTCTTTGGGCTGCCCCGGCTGCCTCGGAGACTCCGCTTTGACCACGACTCCTGGGAGGAAGAGGAGGACGAAGACGAAGATGAGGACAATGCCTGGTTGAGGCTGGAGGACAGCTGGCGGGAACTCATTGATGGGCATGAGGTAGCGGCAGCCTGAGCCTGGCAGCCCCCTCCCACCCTCCTTACCATCCCCCAGCCTCATGGCCCCTCTGAAGGGCTCAGGGATAGGTGTTCCACTGGGCACTTCTCGGGGCTGCTGTTGGGATTTGAGGAAACTAAGGCCAGGAGAGGTCATTTTGCCACTTGGCTATTTTAGCAGCAGAGGAAGACTCCAGAACGTGGGTATCTTGAATCAGGAGCTTCAGGGTGTGGAGAGTGGCCTCCCCTGCCCCCCCACTCCCACCTCTTTTGAGACCTCCTTTTCTGAACTTGAAAAATGAGTTGCATGTAGGGTTACTTGCCCTTCCCAGGTACCTTTGGGGCTCCTGGGTTACCCTCCCTTCCCTGTTCCCAGAAGCTGACACGCCGGCAGTGCCACCAGCAGGAGGCAGTGTGGGAACTCCTACACACTGAGGCCTCCTACATCAAGAAGCTGCGAGTGATCACCAACGTGAGTGTGGGCCTGCCACAGACCCCACCCCCAACCCCACCAGGCCCTGAGCTGTGCTCAGCTCTTTTCAGAAGGAGCAGCTTCCGCGCACTAAATGAGGGGCAGGAAAGTCAGAGGAAGGCTGCACCCTGGGAACAGGGTTTCCCACAGGCTGGGCACCTAGGAGGGGCTTCAGCAGGTTGACTGGGTGGAGCTGACCATCTCACTTGTTAACAGCCATTTCTGAACACCTGCTTCATGCCGGGGTCCCACAGCCCACACCCCACACCCTAGCTGGGAGACAGTGGGTAGGCACTGAGTGGGAACAAGTGTAGGCACCTGGACAGAAAGGTACACCTGTCCTGGGCTGGGCAATTCAAGCAAGATTTTCTGGAAGAAACACCCTCGGAGCCCAACCCAAAGGATGAGCCAGGGCAGAGGTGGCGGAGAGGCCAGGCCAGACTACTGCAAGGCCAGTGTCCCCAGAGCTGCCCTCCTGGTGTGTCCAGGCAGTTTGAATCCCAAGTGGGCAAGTGGGCTGGGCCTTTTCTTAGTGTCTGGAGCCCCTGGGACAGAGGCTGGGTGGGGCTTCGAGAAAGCTACCCCTCGAGCTGCAGTGCCTTCTACCCTCACAGCTGTTCCTGTGCTGTCTCCTGAATCTGCAAGAGTCGGGACTGCTGTGTGAGGTGCGCTGGCGGAGAGGGAGGAGGCTCTAGGAAGGCAGGGGGGTTCTGGTGAAGGTGGTGCCGGGGGTGGAGGGGGCAGAGCCTGATTACTGGGGTGGGGATTGAGGGGGTGATGGGGGAGGTTTAAGCTTGAGGGGCATGCCCAGCCAAGGGACCCCTCCCAGATGCTTGGCCTGTTGGAGACCAGTGGGGGTGTGGAATGGACAACCTGCCCCTTGCAGGTGGAGGCTGAGCGCCTGTTTAGCAACATTCCTGAGATTGCGCGGCTACACCGGGGGCTGTGGGGCAGCATGATGGCGCCGGTGCTGGAGAAGGTGCGGCGCACGCGGGCGCTGTTACAGCCTGGGGACTTCCTCAAAGGCTTCAAGATGGTACGGGCACAGGCAGGGACATTGAGGCAGAGCTGGGCACTGGAAAGACTCCAGGACCAATCCCATCTGATCCCATCTGATCCCATCTGTGTACACCCCCAAAGTCCTCAGGTGCCAGTGACCTCTAGTGGTCAGAGGCAAGATTATGAGCTATTCACTCATGTTGGACTACTACTAACTACTTGGTCAAGGATGGTCCTTTTGCGGAGGCTCAGGGCCCTCAACTGGAAAGCAGGGGTCATCGGCTTGTCCACCCCTGGGGTGGTTGTGAAAATGCAGTGAGAAGGGGCTTGTGGAGCGTTTGGTGCTGAGCAAGCTGCAGAGGTAATGGTGTTGTGATTCTTTTCCCACCCTGGGCCAGTTTGGCTCGCTCTTCAAGCCCTACATCCGTTACTGCATGGAGGAGGAGGGCTGTATGGAGTACATGCGTGGCCTGCTGCGGGACAATGAACTTTTCCGGGCCTATGTCACGGTGAGGGGGCGCCGGTGGGTGGCACCTAAGCCGCAGATGCAGAGGAGGGTCAAAGGGCAAGGCTGTGTGGTGGGTGGGCATATCTGAGCCCTGTCCCATATCCCTCTGCAGTGGGTGGAGAAACACCAGCAGTGCCAGCGGCTGAAACTGAGTGATATGCTGGCCAAGCCCCACCAGCGGCTCACCAAGTACCCGCTGCTGCTCAAGTCACTGTTGAGGAAGACCGATGAGCCGAGAGCCAAGGAAGCCATTGTCACCATGGTAACCGGGTTGGTGGGTGGGGCCCCACAGCTGGCAGGCCCTCCTTGGACCCCTTCCGACCCTGGACCTGGACCCTTTCTCCCACCCCCAGATTGATTCCGTGGAGCGCTTCATCCACCATGTGAATACATGCATGAGGCAGCGACAAGAGCGGCAGCGGCTGGCAGCGGTGTTGAGCCGCATTGATGCCTACGAAGTGGTGGACAGTAGCAACGATGAAGTGGACAAGGTAGGCCTGTGTCTTCATCCCACCAGCAGGAGGGGGTTACCCTCAGGGCTGGTCAGATGAAGTGGGAAGGAGGACCAAATTGGTAGATGGGTTATACTGGAAACCTCACTTGAAGACCATGGAGCCTCAGATGCTTGACAATCTCCTGTAACTCATTGTCCTTCCCATCCCTTAGCTCCTGAAGGAGTTTCTGCAGCTGGACTTGACAGTACCCATTCCCGGGGCCTCCCCAGAAGAGACGCGACAACTACTCTTGGAGGGGAGCCTGAGAATGAAGGAGGGGAAGGACAGCAAGGTGACTCTAGGGGCCCCTGCCTTCTCCCACTTCACTCTTTCTTGCCCTGTTAGTTTTGACCATCCTTCTAAGGACTCCATGTCACTGGGTGGTTATCAGCTGCCGGAGCTGTGGGTGGGGACTCAAAAACTGGTGGCTTTGTGGTCACACGAGAGGGGAGATTTCTACTTCCATTGAAAACCCTGCCAAGCACAGTTCTACTCTGACACACTGAGGTCACCGTGAGTTTGAGCCAACTTGATAGCAAGTGGTATTACCCTTTACGTATAGGGAATCCCTATGTGGTGGAAACAGTTAAGTGCTTGACTGATAGCTGAAAAATTGGCTCAAACACACCCAGCAGGGCCTTGGAGGAAAAGCCTGGCAATCTGCTTCTGAAAGGTCACAGTCTTAAAAACCTTATGGAGCAGTTAGTTCTCCTCTGCACACCTCGGGTCAGTGTCAGTTGGAATTGACTTGGTGACACCCGGCAATTCTTTACAAGTTCTGCAGGGTCACAGTTTGTCCTGGAGGGGTGGCCAGGCCTACTTACCAGTCATATCCCCTGGGGTGTGGGTGGGAGGGAGGCCAGGAACTGCCCAGAGGATTACTTTTGTATGAATCATCCAGCAGATTGTGATGTATTTATAATCACAACTTAAAAGCACACTCCAAGTCCTTTTTCTTTACTTTTATTGTGGTAAAATATGTAGACATATAACAAAAGATTGGCCAGTTTAGCCATTTCTAAGTATAATTCAGTATAATTAGTCACATTTATAATGTTGGTAACCAGCACCATTATTTCCTTCCAAAACTTAACCACCTCAAACATTAAGCAGTTCATTTCCCATCTTCACCCCCACTTTTTTCTTCTTCTTCTTTTAAATGATACTATGTTTTCAGTGAAGACATCTAAAGTCATTTAGATTCCCATTCAACAATGTACACAGGTTGTTCAGAGACATTGGTAACATCTGTCACAAGCGTGAGCTTTGTCATTATCTCCATCCTGGTTGGTTGTTCCACCCTCACCCTACCCCCTTTATTGAGTAGACATTTTCTTATATATATTCTTATATATATATATAAATATATA